TTGTCCCTCTCCAACCCGACCTATCGACCTTTCTCTCGAGAAAAATGATGGCGCGACAGCGAGAGACGAGCCGGATGCAGGAGCTGCGCTGTGGCAGGCAAGACGCAAGCAGGTCTAGGCCTGTCATTGCGTTTACAGTTGCGCCGTCAGCGACAGCCTCGTGATTGCCAGAACGCTTCTGTACGTCACTGGATGATTCCAACGATAGTCACACCCCACGAGCGAGGCCTTAGCATTCGCGAGGCACCGATTCGCAAGGTCTCAGAAGCGCCCAATCGAAACCGCTCGGGATCGGGGAGGGAAGCGGGTTGGGGGCCCAGATATCTCGGTTCGCCCATGCTTCATTCGTTTCTGTACCTATGCAGGACTGCCATCTGAGCACTACTGATACACTGACCAGATGCATAGGTAGTGTGTAATGAGCAATATATATCGTCCATACATATCCCAGGTGAGTACACCGGGTACAACCACACCCAGAGGACCAGTTCCGACGCCGATAGCCTCTTTTGGTGCCCCGCTCGTGTCAGCCGAGTGGACCGACTCTTTTCGCTACACCCTCCACTCCCTCACTCCACTCTTCCTCCTGTCTCCACTCTTCCTCCTGTCTCCACTCTTCCTCCTGTCCCCACTCCCTACACCTCATGATCCGCGCCCTCGAGCTATTGAGCGCAGTCTCGAGGGCGGATAGTACTCATCCGCTTTCCCCAGCATCACCTTCCCCGGCACCGTCGACTCCACCTCGGGAGGCCCGATCGCCGTATTTCACGCCTCCACGATCTGGCCCTCTCACGAGGAGTGCGAGAAAGCGACAGGCCGGGCATGATGATTCGTCACTTCCACCCCGGACGATCTGTCCTCCAACGCCAATCTCACCAGTGGATTCACCGGTCACCACGTCGAATCAGGTATCACAAGTCTCAGATGACCGCCCGCGGAGATCGACCCGGATAAAAAAGCATAAACCGGAGAACGTCACCGGCAAGCGTAAAGCGAAAGGCCACGGGCTTGGCCGGCATGGTGTAGAAGAGGCCGTAGTAGCAAAGTCTGAGCAAGGCCAGATCGAGGCTATCGATAAGATCCACCTGATCCAAGGTACAGTCGATGCCCTTCGTCGCCTATCATTGGCTTTCGAAGATGCCTGCGCAATGGGCTCTTGAACCTTGCGCCATACTGAAGCCCACAGCCCCCAACCCTCTTCGTGTATGCCCCTGCCGTATACGCTAACCCTAAGAAAGAGTCCGCCATGACCCATGGAAGATGCTCGTAGCCACGTGTCTCCTCAACGTCACGTCTGGCCGGGCCGCCCGCCCAATCTACATCGAACTTATGCGGCGGTACCCCAATCCCGAAGCGCTCTCGCAAGGTCCGTCTGCCTTACTCTACATATCTCTGCGCGACTCACCCACAGCAAGCATACCAGACTTGGTAGAGCTGCTTTACCCCCTTGGACTATTCAACCAACGAGCCGCCTCGCTCGTCCGTTTTAGCCAGGAATACCTCGCCCACCAATGGCCTATACATCCCGGCACTCTCTCCTCCGACCCCGTACTTCACCCTACCACCCCTTTCGTCTCGTCAGAGGACTCATTGCCTCAAACACTCGACGTGCGCATCTTCCACGGAGCCGGACGGTACGCCTCGGACAGCTTCCGCATTTACTCTGATCTGTTCCCGGGAAAAGGCGCGCCTGAGCGTGAGAAACGGTGGATCGAAAAGCAGAAGAGAGCGCGGATGCGGCGTCAGATGGATCAGCGGGGGGCTGAGACTGCACAAGAGGCCGGAGAGCCGGAGCAAGATGTAAGTGTCACGTTGGACAAAGCGACCGATGTGGAGGATGTCGAGCAGATTGGCGAGTATCTGAGCGACGAAGAAGACGTGGGAGAAGAGGAATGGCGCAAGGTCAGGCCGACAGGTGAGTCGACTATCCTGTCGCCGGCATTACGGAAATAAATTAAGCTGAAATCTCAGACAAGGAGCTACGGCGGTACTTGGCAAGTATCAAAGTCACATCCCCCGTCCCTTGATAAGCTGACATGACAGATCTGGAGGTGGGGCCTCGAAGGCATCGTATATGACATACACCACGGACCGTCCATAAAACGTCAGCAGGACATTCAGCGGCTTGCCTATCTCGCGTAGCTTGCCTATCTCGCATATCTCACTTGAAGCGGCTGCTCTTGGGGACCGGCTGCGCCTTAACCTGTATTCCTCACATACATGGTAGAACGCTACATCTTGTTGTCTATTCTGGAACCTATGTATAATGCTTGTCTGGTCTACCTGAGGATAGCTCGTTTCTGTCTCCAAAGAATGGTTCACCTCAAGCACTTTGTAAGTTCCGGGCGACTCCTTGGCCACCAGAGCGACGGGTGCGCGACATGGCTAGGTCGGGGTCGGACTCGATCGGCGGTCAGTCGACATGCAACCCTGATGACATGTGAAACAGAGTTGAGTTCGTGCAAAAAGAGCGATGTGAGATATCTCCCACCTTACAAACATGGCGCGTTGCCAGACCATCGGGTGACAGTGATCCGAACCACACAGTCCCGAACACCGCTGGTCAATCTTTGAAGTTGCGAAAGGTCGAGTGGAACAGGCTTGAAAGTTTCTCAAGCACGATATCGTCTTGCGTCTTGACCCTGCATTCTTCCGGCGTCACCCGGCGCTCGATGTTGGAAAATTCAGAGGTATTTTGAGCGAGGATCTTGATCGCGCCTAGTGAGTAGAGATGTCAGCGCGAGCGAGCCAGGTCAGTACTCTGTACTCACCTGAGGCGAGGACTGCGGTCAGCTTTACTTCCCACCTGGACGACGCTGGTCTCACAAAAGACGTCCCAGTATGCCGGAGAGGTGCGCCCTTGTAGTTTGGAGAGTATAGACATGACCGCGTAGAAAGGACCGTGTCGAGACTTGACATAATGGGCTGCACCTGACATAGAGATGATCGGTGGCACAATGCCCAAAGTGGGATGCGCCAGTTGCGGTACCGAAACGGCAGTGTGGCAAAGTATGAGTAGGCTATTCAGCTCTGCAGCTGACCTGGGTCGCAGCTGCTGTCAGCTCCTGTATCGTCGGCCTGAGAGCTGACCTCGTTCAGCAGCTCGTGTGGCGGGACAGAGGTGATAGTGACTGGTCGCTTGCGCCCTCCTGTCAATGGTCCTCCGGGCATATAAGAGTTTTGGCACCGTTTCATGACTCGCCTGACCGCGTTCTCATTGACCACCTCGATGTACATGTAGTCTTTTGTCCGACCATCCGTCCTGTTCAGGAGTATGTGTATCGGTTGCGGGTGATCGGGCGGAAGACTTCCGGGCGGCAAATACTCCTCTACCGCCTGGGGAGTGATGTCCCACGCGACGTTGTCGATCCGAAGGACTGGGTAGAGAGCACGGGTCGGGCGAGTGGAAAAAAGAGTCAACCGCTGCGAGCGTGACACAATCTGATCAGGGTAATCCAGTGGCTGCCGCTTGGACAGCGAGGCGAATGTATAAATCTGAGCAAAGCAGCTCGGACAGGTCGAGTGGCCTCGAGTCACAGTCGTCGCAGAGAGTATCGCCGAGAAACACGTAGAGCATGTCACGTGCTGAAGGAGTCAGCTGCATTTCCGGTCATGAGACATATGTTTGAGATGGCGAAAGTCCTACCTGACAAGGGATGAAACGCATCCACTGCTTGATTGTCTTTTTGCGCCCGCACCCACTGCATTTGCGCCCTGGCACGCTCCCGTCGCTCTCCGTCGAGATGATCGATTGCATCGGGCTGGCATTTCTCGGCAGGCTTGGGCGCTCGGCGACCGCTCGAATGGCATCAGTAGGCGAGGGAGGGGTAGCGGGATCCAGCGAGTCGTCGAGCCTGTTGCCAGGACGATGCAGAGGAGTTTGTGGCGGGGGTGACTGCTCGTTCCCCAGACACTCGTGGAGCAAATGATTCTAGCTTGAGCCCACACAACCCAAGTACTCACGATCAAGCTCTCATCCACCTTTGTGTTTCGGCTGAGCTGAGAATTTTTTGGAGCGTAGATGACTGCTGACGGGCTTTGACCATCACAACCATCGCCAGGCGATCTGGCGGGGGACGCGAGAGAGCGGCACGACCCCTTATCTCCTGGGAATATCTCCTTGCGGCAAATGACCCCCATGAAGGACTTGACAGAGCTGACGGGGGACAATTTTGCTGTCAAGCTTTGGGGCCTTGAGAAGTCATCAGGCAGCTCCGAGGTCGACTTTGAGCGGAATAGGCGAGAGTGGTCCGCTGGCCTGCTAAACGACGACCGAGCCGATGCCAGCGAACCAGTGGAGGAATCGGTCACTTCCATGTATTGAGGGGTGAATGGTCCTATGACGTGGATCTTGGAGTTCTGGGGGTTGTTCAGACTGCTCTTGACTTGGCGCGACCTCGAACGCCCGCTACTCACAGCCGGGGGGACCGTCTCTGGACCGGAGGGGGTAAGGTTGGGCGAGGCGCATACTCCCATAGGTTTCCCAGTAGGCTCTGGTGCAGCACGCTTCTGAGAGCTCTTGATAGCACTTGATACTCTGACGCGGACGGCGGGGTGTCCCACCGGCGAGAACAGAGGGGTGAGAGGGCGAGTGAAGGGGGGCTCTTCTAGCAGGGATGCACACATGGCTGGAGAGAGCACCGAGTCACAGGGAGGGGTGGACACCCTCTTTCGAAGTGCGGGGTAGACAGAGGAAGGGAAGAGGGTCTGAAAAGAGAGGAGAAGCAGTCGAGGGTGAGCAAGAAATGGGCGGTGAGTCGTGGTCCATCCGGGTGGAGGTCAATGCCTGCCTGGCGTGCGCACATGCACCTTCCATCCGACCGACCGCAACGTGAAACCTGTTACAACTGCATGCTGAGGACGACTGCTTCCGCACCTTCTGCTGCATGAGAAGCATGTATTGATGAAAGCGATGGCAGAAGCAAGGAGATTCTCCAGCAGCGGGAAGCGGTATGCTGCGCGATTATAGCCAAGCCCAAAAAACCAAGATCACGTGATCTGCAGCTATAGTTTAGCTGGGAGTAACGTTCGACTGAAGTCACAGTCACTTATATCGAAAGGTCCCCCGTTCGATCCGGGGTAGCTGCATTATCTTTTTGTATTTTTTTTGCTGCCCAGGTGTTTACGTAACCCTATCGCCTTGCCCCGCGTCTCGGGTCGGAACTGGTCTCTTGTGACCGACCATATGGGTCGCCTATCAAAGATAGAAAGGTAGACCGACCGACCCTTGAGATTCCTCTTTGTGTCTTTGACAATCTATTCTCTATCTCCCCCACACACGCCCTACTTGCTCGATATCAGACACTCCCTCGCTCGCAATATGGCTGCCAACCCCCAGTTCCTCAAGTTTGTCGACGACAACCAAGACCACCTTATCGACCGGCTCGCTCAGGCCGTCGCTATCCCTTCGTACGTACCTGACCTCCCTGTCTCCGGCGAGGACCTTGCCCCTTAGTGTCGGCGCTGACGATGCAGCGTGTCCGGAAACCTCAGGTGAGCTATATGCGGCTGTTGTTGACCCTGGTCGCTTACCCGGAGCTATGTGAAAGACGTCGAGAACATGGCCGAGTGGCTCGTCCAGCAACTCAAGGCTCTCGGTGCTACCGTTGAGAAGCGACCGATCGGCAAGCACACCATCGAGGGACAAGAGGTGGACCTGCCCCCAGTGGTCATCGGCCAGGTCGGCAGCGACCCGAAGAAGGTGTGTCCCACTGGCGTCTCCATACCATCCGATTCCTAGTCACTCTTCCCACCGCATTCCTACCCCTCAGCGGACATTCAAATCCCCATACCAAACCCGCATGATTCATACGACCCTCCTTTGTAGATTCAATACGTGCTAACCACGTCATTGTGCAGAAAACGCTCCTCGTCTATGGCCACTATGACGTTCAACCCGCCTTGCTCGAGGACGGCTGGAAGTACCCCCCCTTCGAGCTCACTCGTGACCCCGAGGGATCCGGACGATTGTTCGGACGAGGAGCGACCGACGACAAGGGTCCCGTCCTCGGATGGCTCAACGTCCTCGACGCGCACAAGCAACTCGGCCTCGAGCTTCCTGTTCGTCCATTTCGCCGGCTTCGCTGACAATCAGGTCAACTTGAAGATGTGCTTCGAGGGCATGGAGGAGAACGGATCAGAGAACTTGGACAAGTTTATCGAGTCGGAGAAGGACAAGTTCTTCGCTGGAGTTGACTGCATGTGCATTTCGGGTCAGTCGCTACAACCAGGTCTGCATATGAGCGATGACTGAGGAGCAGACAACTACTGGTTGGACACCAAGACCCCTTGCTTGACCTACGGTCTGCGTGGTGTCAACTACTACGAGATCCGAATCAACGGACCTGGCCGAGACCTCCACTCCGGTGTCTTTGGGGGCACCGTCCACGAGCCCATGACCGACTTGTTCGCCATCAGTGAGTTGATGCACTCTTGTCGATCGCAGCTGACCAGCAGTGTCCAAGCTCGTCACTCCCGATGGACAGATCTTGATCACCGGCATCAAGGACCTGATCGCTCCTGTCACCGAGGACGAGCGAAAGAAGTTTGAGGCGATCCATTTCAAGCTCCGAGCACGTGGACCTGGCCTACAGCACGCTTGCCTGACTGATGTTGCAGGACATTGAGGAGGCCGTTGGAGCTCCGGTCACCATCTACGACGACTCTATTCAGACTGTGAGCCGTTGGTCTCCCGCCTATTTGTGACTCGCTGACCTCGTAGCTCATGGGCCGAATGCGTAAGCTCTTGCTGACAATCCCACCGCTGACTGCTAGGAAACCCCAGTTTGTCGTTGCACGGTATCGAGGGCGCTTTCTGTGAGCCGTTCATGCCTGTGGTAACGTCTGTATCGCTCTGACACGTAGCCGCTCCGGGATCCAAGACTGTCATCCCGGCTTCGGTCAAGGGAAAGTTCTCGATCCGATTGGTCCCCAACTTGACCATCAAGAGCGTCACCGACCTTGTCATCAAGTACGTCGAGGAGGAGTTCAAGAAGCTGGGATCGAAGAACAAGCTCGAGGTGGTGTTGACTCACGGCGGCGAGCCTTGGATTGTGCGTGTTTCTTTGCCTCGCTCCGCGCCATGCTGACGTACAGGCTGACCCGAACGTGGGTTGAAGAGTTTGCAAATGCGAGAATGGGACGCTAATAGCTAGCACTACTCTTACCGAGCTGCCCACCGAGCCACCGAGGCTGTGTACGGCCAGACCCCGGACTACACTCGAGAAGGAGGTGAGCAGCGGTGCTTGTTCCTCAATGAAGTCGAACTCACGTCAGGCTCTATCCCCGTCACCCTGGACTTTGCCAACATCCTCGGCCTCAACGTCCTGCTCTTGCCCGTCGGACGAGGTGATGATGGTGAGTGGGCTGAATGATGTGCAGTCGTTGACCGTCAGGTGCTCACTCGATCAACGAGAAGATTGACACTTCCAACTACATCAACGTGAGTCGTCAAGCCGTTTTCAAGGACGCCCGATTGACCATCAGGGTACCAAGCTTCTCGGTACCTACATGTACGAGCTTGCTGCGTCGAATGAGTAGGTGTTCGGAGCTGGGTAATGGGATTTACAGGGAAATCGGAAGCAGGCTTCTCGTTGCACATGTGGATTATATGCATACAACATGTAGCACGGATGGTCGTGTCGGCACATCAACTAGTCGTTCACAGATCATTCGCCTTCTAGTATCCCGCAAGGTCCAACGCGCTGATGTACTGTGACGTAGGCTGGAGGTCCTCATCTTCGTCCTCTTCCTCCTCTTCGTCTTCCTCCTCCTCCTCGTCTTCCTCCTCCTCCTCTTGATCCTCGACCCAATTGTCCGCTTTACCGGGCTCGACATTCAACTCTGCGATCACGTCTTGCGCCGGCGCTGGCAGAGGCTGATCGCTTTGCAAGCCAAGTACATCGACGTAGACGCTGCCAGACGGCTGAGGCGGGGTGGCCGAGGGGCGCGTAGAGCTCATTGTGTTGACCACCGGCTCGTCCGAGTCGTTCATCGATGGACCGAGCGCAAGGGAGCCAGGCGGAGCATGTGCGGACGCAGGTAATTTAGGCGAGAAAGCAGGCGAAGCGTCGGACCGATTCTCGTCGGTGGAAGAGAGCCTGTCGTTTCGTGTAGCGACGCGGGACAGCGGGTTGCGCACGGAGCTGGAGCCGTGAGGAAGGCCGTCGAGCTGCGCTGCGCTGACACTCGGTGGGATGTTTGGGTCTCTCGATGACAGCGTGGGTGATAAGGGGGATTGCGAGGATCCACCTGGTCCTGCGTGAGGCGGGAATGTCATCTTCATGGTGGGATGTTTCCGGGCCGACATGGGATGGGGGAAAGGCATGAGAGGTTGACTGGAGGTGGGTGATTGAGCGGTTGAGGATGTCGCACGTTCGCGTGTGGAGGTGTGGGCGAGCGAGAGTGAGGCGGGGCCCTGCGGCCAGAGCCATGAGGGGTAGGGGGGCGGGGGTAGAACAAACGAATCAGTCGAGGCAGTAGTCGCAGTGTTGGAAGAGGAGGAGGAGGAGGTGGTGGTGGATGATGGGTTGGCGGACGAGTACGAGGTGACGAACGGGACGAGCGAGTAGTCTTCGTGTTCCGGCTCAAACCTGCGTGTTTGCCTCAGCTTTGACCATATGGGAAGGTAAGAACATGGCTCACCGGCACATCTCCCCAATCACGCTGTCGAGATGCCATCCCATCATCTTCCTCAGACAAGCGACGACGAGGGTGGTATGTGACACGCCGTCCTTGTCGGCGAGATAGACCGGATAACAAGTTGGATCCAGGATGATCCGCAAGACCTCCCCTACCTCGACTTTGCCCATACCCAACTTCTCCTCTGTCATCTTCTCCGCTTTCACCCATTTCAGGTCGATACCGCGTCGCCCCGCCCAAGCGCACAACGGGTCATCCTGCTTGATGGGTTTCTTGCCGAGGTAGACGAGGGTTTTCAGTCGTAGGCGATTGACGAACCGGTAGTTGCGCGCGACGGGGATAGACCCCCTGTAGAGGATCTCTTTGCATGGGGGAGGAGGTGTGGGGGATGCAGGGGTGGAGGTGGATAGGTTGGGTGGTGGAGGAGGAGGTGGGGAGAGGGGTGATGCGACTATGGAAAAGTGGTAAGGAGGTGTGAGTGCATGCATTGCATGACTGGATGTTGATTCCCAAGCGTGTCGTGGTGACGAGGTGAGGGGGTACTGGGTGTGATTGGATCGATTCGCCTAATCTATTTATTAAACCACGTCAATGGCTTCCGAGTCCGTCGATGTGGGATAGCGGGGGGAAGGAGAGCGGGGGGGGGGGGGCTGAAGGGGGGGGGGGGGAGAAGAGGAGGGACCGTGACGGAGAGCGAGACGGATGAGAGAGGGAGAGAGAGATTCGATCGGTCGAGGTGTGAGAACCGAGGGTCGTCTTTTGGGTCGTCGTCGGCATTTGACCCCTCGTGAACGTAATCGTCATTGATTTTCAACAGATCTCTCTTCTCTCCCTCTCTCTCCCTCTCTCTCCCTCTCACATCCCCCGCCCCCTTCTCATCTTTTTCATCCCTCGATCACTACCCCCAACTCGGGATACCCAGTGTCGTTCATTTTGACTACAGATCACAGTATAATATCACCCCATCCCACTCGGCACTGTCGATCAGGCCAGCCAACCCCCCCCCCCCCCCCCCCCTCAAACCCACATCGCACAACACGCTCACGCCAAAGGGGGACCAATTTGCCTGGGGGCCCAGTCTCCCTGTTCTCGTCACCGTCACTCGACAAATTACATCGACCCTGCATGACTGTCAACAACCAACCTACACACGCATCCCGGAAGACGAAGAACGTTCCTCGGTCGAACAGCTGAACCAAAGACACACCATCCATACCGACCCGCACCTCTCCTTCCATCCTTACCTTCCGAACCCACCATGCCCAAGCCGACGCTGATACAGTCGGTCCTGCGGAAACCCACCAGATCCTACGCCGACCCTCACGCACCTTCGCCGTGGGCCGACAGTCCATCCCCTCAGCCCTACTATGACGCGCCGGCATCTCGCTACTCGGCCCAACGGGACGGAGGCGTCTTTCTCGGGTACAGAGAGGAACCCCGATACCCCG